CACTTAACAACTGTGGCAAGAAAAGTTGTAAAATGGGGCAAAACTCACTTAACAAATGTCTCACTTAGCAACAGAAATTTTGGATTCAATTGTGGTTGTAATTCGAGGATTATCTGTAGATGTAGTTATGTTTAGCTATATTTAGCTCTTCATTAAATCAATTGAACCAGGTGACTCTTGAGCTGTCAAGAATTTTGAGAAATTTATTGGGAGAAATTTACACCACAACTGATCAGACAGCCTTTTTAAAAAGAGAACAATGTGAGAGAATGGTCACAAAGGCAGGCAGTTTTGAAAAAAAGTCTAGTATTTCGAGTCAAAAAGAGGGCTGTGAAAATATCTACAGACCCTTCACATTCTGGAAATAAATTGTTTCAAATTCTACCCTCAAAACGATGCTATAGGGCACTGCGCACCAGAACAACTAGACAAAAGGTCAGTTTTTCTCCAAATGCCATCACTCTGCTTAACAACTAATTCCCACAACAGTCAAACTGTTTACTAAGACTGTATTATTATTAATATTCTCATCCTTCCTATTACCTATCTCCTCCCACTTATGACTATAACCATGTTGCTTGTATTTTTATGATTTATATTCTTTTTGTTTTCTGGTATGATTTGATTGCTTATTAGTAACCTATGACTATCACTAAGTGTTGTATCTTATGATTCTTGATGAATGTATTTTTCCCTCTTTTTTTCCTTTTATGTACACTGAGCATATGCACCAAAGACATTTTGTGTGTGTGTTCCAATCACACTTTGCCAATAAAGAGTTCTGTTCTATTCTATTCTATTCTATTCTAATTATATTTCATCCCATTCTATTCCTGCTAGGAATCATATCTTAATTAACCCATGTAAAACATTTAGAAACTGTGAGAAAAACACCAGAATACAGTACAGATCAAGTATACCAAAATATTTTTAATATTATTTTGCTTCCAACAAGAAAAATTAGACCGAGGACCTAGTGTAACAAAATCCCCATAGGCACTTAACTGGTGCTTCAGTTGTCAGTAAATATATGACTCAAAATAAAGGTAACAGGCATTAAATAAAACATATAAATCCTTTACATATGTATTCAGAATTTAGTCCTGATAGTTCCTCGTAAGAGTGTTTAAGACTGCAATTATTCATTGAAGAAATCAATTATTCTCTGGAAATACAGCAAATTATAGAACAAAAAGGATTGCCAAAATACCAGTAGAAAATCTGCAACTCCCCCCCAAGAGGATTACAAGCGTTAACTCCACCCATATGGGCAGACATGAAAGGTGAAGATTGGATGAAGAAAAAACCCAGAATCTTGGGAAACCATGTTGTTGCTATCACCTTTTCAACCATTTTGAAAGCTACGTGGCTGAAATGGGATTAAGAGGACATCAAGGCAGTTTCATGGCTGTTTAGGTTGGTGGAATTTGGGGAACTCTACCTGAATGGATCCTCAAAACATTTCTACTTTCCTTGTGAAATACACACACAACATTGCCTGAACCACAGGGCTTTGTTTCCCTTTTACTTCCTCTGTAGCTCAAGACGCCTTAATATAGTGTTCCTTAATCTTTGCAACTTGCAGATGTGTGGACTTCAACTCTTGGAATTCCCCAACCAGTTGGCAACTGAAACACTCATATCTTTTAAGTTGCCAAGGTAGAGAAGCATTGCCTTTAAAAGCTGAAATTATTGTTTTAAATGATCTCCCAACTGAAAAGCGTGACCCGTCAAAACCGCGGTCGACAAAACCGCGCTCGACGAAAGCGCATACCTGACGTCATCAGCAGCGCGACGAAATTTTTTAAAAAATNTGCCTGCCTGCCTGCCTGTCTATTATTTAAAGGCAAGATACAAATAAAAAAAGCTAGAAAAAAGATCCAGAGTAGCCCATAGAAATATAAACATTCCCCTAACTATCAAATTTTACCTCCAAAGGGAGGAACACTTTGGCTGTTTTTCCTTCACTTTCAGAAGAAAAAACCCTCTTAAACAATTCCCACAGGGGGAGGGAGAGAGAGGGAGGGAGAGGGAGGGAGGTAGAGACAGACAGGAAGAGAGAGACAGAGAGAGACAGCAGGAGAGAGGGAGAGAGGGAAAGGGAGGGAAAGGGAGGGGGGGAGAGAAAACAAGGTTTTCCCCTCCAGTCCACCACCTCTCTCACACACACACACAGTCACACACACTAAAATGAGGAAGTACGACTACCCAGCCCTTACAGCTTGTGAAAAATTAAACTCGACGGATTCAAACTGTCCTATTTCCACATCAAAAGGGAAGGCGCGCTGAGCTCTTCCCAAGTTATCTTCAAACGCCAACACCCTAGAAAGTTTCATGAAAAAGAGAAATAGAGAGAGAAATAGAGAGAGAGAAATAGAGAGAGAGAGAGAGAGATGGGGAGAAGGAGAGAGAGAGAGAGAGAGAGAGCCTAGAGCTCCCCTAAGCCCTGTGCCCCTTACCAAAGCCTCCGCCTGTCCCTCTTTCTTTCTCTTTCTCTCCTTCACCTAATTATACCCTGGTGAGTTTATTAATCAACTTGTAAATTATTTAGCAAGTAGCCACGCGCTACTACAAATACACGGTGTAGGAAGACTGGAGGAGGGAGGGGGGTGGAAACCCCCAGCCAAAGTCCCCGAGGATTTCTTAGCGATGTTGAGGCAGCGTGTGGTTTTCTTTCGTTTTATTTTATTTCATTTTTCATCAAATAAAGAAGAAATAAAACCCAAGCTTACCTCTCAGACGGGGAAATTTACCTAGCCTTTCAACTGGCAGAGAGGCTGGGTAAGTTATGTCTTAGATAGATAGATAGATAGATAGATAGATAGATAGATAGATAGATAGATAGATAGATAGATAGATAGATAGATAGATAGATAGATAGGATAGAGA